GAAGGCGGACAGGGATTTTTCTGACTTTATAATTGTACTCCTAGAATTTATATTGTATATGTATTGTTCAAAAAATATGGATCAAAAAATCGTATATAACATTTTTGTCGTTTTCAAAAAGAATCAGCCATATACCCTAAGCACAGTAACTTCTAGATAATACAGTTATAAGACGAAGTATGGATGATGCAATGACTGTATAGATCCACATACAATATAATATAGGGATGGCTGCGTACAAATAAACCTCGTTCCGTGACAATAATATTATACAGTACAGTATAAGAGTTTAGAAAATTAGAATAAAATGCGATCATTCAAACCTGCGCCTCAAGTATTGGAATACTAATGTGCTAAACTATTATAATAAATACGTATACGTTTATTTAATATTTTAATTATATAGTATCAAATAAATAGTTAATCCTGACCTTTTATTATTATTTCTACCTTACCACAATACTTTTTTATCACTCTCGGTATTCTATTTTTTGTTTACTCAGAAATAAATCAAAATGTTATTACGGTATGTATCCTACAAGCATAAAAAAAGGCGCACAGATTAATGCTTTGGAACTACTGTATTACGTATAAGCGTAAAAACTGTCGGAATTAATTGTGGCGGTAGAAACCCCACAGAAAATGATGATACGTTAGTATAGATCGCCCCACGTGAAATTATTACTGTATAAGAAATAATCATAGCAGAACAAGCCACACCCTATGGCGATGCAAGCGGTAAAGAAATCGTATGAAATTCAATAATCCTTTGATATAATAGTAGGCACTCTTCCAATAAATTGTATGACTCCTCCCAAGAATAATTACATACAAGTCACGAGACCCGCATGTTTTAAAACAATGATACCACGGTATAATAAAGTTGAAACATGGAATTTGCAGCATTCAGCATGACTGTTGGTATTGCCGAAGCCTATCTGCGTAGAATTTACAGTGACTATGTTGGCAAGTCCGGGTTTTTTAAGCCCGATTTTTAATTAGAATTTCTATTTTGGTAAATATAATATCAAAAAATCTTTTTCCATATTTTTATAAACCATATCGACGGTTTGATGCTTATAAAGATGTCGACTATGGCTTTGAAAATTGAAGCACGCGTTATATAAACATAGTCTTTTCATAATTTTCTTTCAAAAAGATAAAAAAAACTTTTTTAGGAAGACATTCTCTAAAATGTACGCGAAACTCCTGACTACCTTGCTTTTTGCCGCTCTATTCTCCGTAGCCATTGCAAGTCCTTACGAAAAGAAAAGTAGGTTTAAAGCTTTTTTTTTTTTATTGCGTTTATTTTTTGTACTTTTCCTCAAATTTTATTGATTTATAATAGACGCACTTCCTGAAATTAATAAAAGTAAATGTCTATTAAAATTTCTTTTTATCAATAAGTCTTTGCGATTTTTCCTCTAAGCAAGATTTATCAACAAATATTAATTAATTCCAATTACATATTTAACATCTATTTTAATATTCATATTTTGATTATCAGGAGGTACATAAATTTTATTATACAGTATTGCTTTCTAACATTAATCAATTGATTTTATAATAATTAAATTATGATTTTTATAATAAATTTTCATAATTTTTATGTGGCAAACCTTTAACGTGTGAGTATGCTCTATTATATTTGCTTTCTTAAAATGTCACCAGATTAACTTTAATACGTTTTTATTATATTAATGCAAAACCTTTAGCGCGTGCTATGTTTTGTTATATTTACTTTCTTAAAATCTCATTAAAATAATTTAATATTCTTTAGTGAGTGAGTATGTTTTGTTATACTTACTGTTCCTAAACATCTAATTATATTTTCATTATTGACCGCGTTTGGCTTGTTTAAAATTTGTACCTATTTTAGTAATTCAACCTATTCTCCCAGACGATAATAAGAACAAAAAGTATTTTATATATCCATTCTAAGTCCTTTATGTTCATTATATCCGTTATATCGTCTCAATGGAAATTGCTAGAAATATATTTCACAAGAGTGTTTTCAACTGCAGATAAAATCCAGCATTCTTATATACAAGTTTAAAAGGTTATTAAATGAAGCAAAACAATGATGTATTAAAAGAGACGTTTAACATTTCTCTAATATAATACTAATCAGATAAATAATGCTTTAATACTAATCAGTTAATATCCAATTATTAATTAAAAATAAAGTAAGGGCGAAAATTGAAAGTTATGTTAAAAAAAAATATTTTTATAGTTACTTTAAAGTACATATCAATATGCTCCGGACGCACAACGGTTTCCGTTTCTTAATTTTATAATTTTAGGGAGCGGGTGTCTCTTATTACGCTTATACTGTATTCAAATATCTCACCAAATTAATTTTATAATTTTTATTGTATTAATGATCTCACCAATCAATTTTTATTATATTGATGCGTAAGATTGTAAGCTTTACGTGATATATTTTTTTCTTAAAAAATATCTTATTGATTTACTTATAATTTATTTATCATATCAAACCACTAGTTGGTATGTATGTTTTGTTTTATTTGTGATTTTTTAAAAAACGTGTATTTAATTAATTTCATTATTATTTATTTTTATCAAACAGTCAGTAGTTCGTGGATTTAAGTTTTAGCATATTTCCTTTTGTCCAAACATTTCTCTAATTACTTTAAGTTTTTATAAACAATTAGAATGTGAGTATAAAATTTATGTACTTGGTATTGCATTTATTTATCGAATTTTTAGCCTGTAAGTGTAAAGATATCATAGTTGTCATCTTAACGAACAGTTTTTTAATTCATTTATTAGACAGTAAGTGTGAATTTAGTTACATTATTATCTTAAAAATATTTCTCTAATCGATTCATTATTGATTTATTCTATTAAAAAATTAGTAGGTTTATTAAATGTTTTTCTAATCAATTTATGATTTATTATCAAATAGTCAGACCATGAGTTAAATTTTATTACATTTAATATCATGACAAAACATCTCTTTAATCGATTTTATGATTTATTATCTGGTGAGTATAGGTTGTATTATTTTGTTGGTTCATTACCTTAACAAATACAATTTTGTCAATTTTACAATCCTTTTTTTATTAAATTACTGTTTAGATTATAATTTGGTGTATTTTGCTTTGTTGAAATATTGATCTAAGAAATTTTGGTTTGTTTTATTTATAAATTATTAAGTCGTAAATACTGTATAATACCTTTATTATGGTTTTCTAAAAAACATTGATACTGTGTAAATTATTTAATGACTTATCTATTTTATATGCCATTAGATGGATGGATTGTAACATATCAATAGTAAGTAATATTAGGCATTACTAAGTATTATTACTATTTTCTATATGATCTCCAGAGAGAATCAAGGCTCCATCAAGCAATGCCTGGAGAAAGATCCCACAAGTGCCATTTTCATCTCAGTCCATTACAACTTCACAATTCTGGCAATTGTACATCTCAGACCTTTCAATACTCTTTATGTTACCACACCAGCTACATGTTTTTGATGTGTAAGCCTCATTTTGGATGATAACATAAACTCCTAACTCCTCAGCCTTGGAAATTAGACATTGACGGAAACAGTAATATACCTAACAGAGCATATTTCACATAGTCTTTTATCTAATTTTTCTTATTTTGTGATTTACCATATTAGATACCTCAAAAGAAAAAATGACAATAATATCAAATTCATGAGTAAAAAAAGTAACAGACTTCTGATTAATTTCACTCTACAAATATTTAATTTTCTATCACACCCATAAAACTGCATAATCAAACCAACAGACCTTGTGCTTCTTATGCTTCAAGATAGAAGTAACTAGCTTATTTTTTTTTTAAATGAGGTCATCCATATATTTACACATGTGAGAAATTTG